CCTTAAGGTCTGAAATGTTATCTAAATTATTAATTAGACATTATTTAACTTATCCAGACCATAATCAACCACCGATGGCATCACCGATGTTTATTGGATTAGGTTCCGATTTGCTGTTCGACTTCTATTCATAATTTAATCATGAAATGGATAATCGAGACTATGTTTTTTTATCCCACCGACTTTAGTAATGATGATCATAGTGGATCAATTTGACTGAAATTTTCAGCAAATTCCCTTTACAGTATCAAGTTTTTAACTATTATAGCGAAAACTACCAGCACTTTATCTAATCTCCCATAATGTATCATTAACAATTCAAGTATGTTTGTTATGTACTGCTTTTGGTTTGTAGGGCGAACGGAAAGTTCTCAATGACAGTCCCAAGCCGGTTCAACTTGATCTGTTAAGACAGCCAAAATTCCAGTTGTAGGTTCTCGTTGCTTGACTTTAACCCTTCTTGAGCATATATACATATTCCAGGTAATCATGGGTTTTCCAGGGCCTAAAATAGGGTTAAATTCTCGGAATCTGTGTCCACGAAACCGACCGCCCGAGAGCGCTGGAAATGGGTCCGGTGGGGGTGGGGTTGGGTGTCTTTGCTGCATTATATAGTTCTCGGACGTTTTTCTGATGGTCGTTTATTTTTATTGTAAACTACACTATTGTGATCGTCGAATCCGTCTAAATAATGATTTAATTAATGATAGATTATGGAAGATTAGATAAAGAGCTGACAGTTCTCACTGTAATAGTTAAATACTAGATAATATAAAGGGAATATGCTAAAAATATCAGTCAAATTCCTTCACTCTAAACCGAGAAAACCATATTTTAAAATCACTGTAATAGCCTCGATTGTCGTTGTTACCGCTGTTACGATAATTAACAAATTGTCGATTATACATTTTTAGGGTTAATCAAGAATGAGCGTTGAATAGCAGATCGAATTCAAATCCAGTGAAAATCCGACACATAAGATAACACCGAGAGTTGAATGATCTTTTGATGTTAATAAATGTCTAATTATTTACTAGTTTATGTAACACTTCAGTCCCAGAGAAAGACCTGCAATAGACAGATTTAGCTGTTACATAATGTCTATTTAAGTATTGACAAAGATACGATGATTTGAAACGTTCGCACAATTCGGCATGCTCCACAGACTATAAAACTCCGTAGGGTCAAAACGAACGAAATCCAGATCGAACAAAAATTTGATCAAAATTATTAATGGGAGTATGAAATTAATCATTGATATGAATTGGGGAATCACACTAACGCGCTGATTGCAACCCGTTTTTTGTTGTTTTTTTCTTGTGTCTGTTTGTGTGTTCCGTAGCATAAAATAACGCTTAGCTTTCCGCTAAAAGTGTGTGTGGCGACCTTAAAATTCGTTCGTAATTACCATATAATTATTTGATAATTACGAGATAATCAGATTTTAATTTCCATTTGACTAATGTAACACTATCTTACAGATAACAGAATTTCAGCATAATGTATAAAACATTTATTGAGAACATAAAATAGACATAAATCGGGAGGAGCTCTATTCCAAGTCTGACATGCTGTCAGTAAACGCCTGCTTATATAGCGTCTAACATTTAGGGGGAGATGGACGGGAGTTATCATCATATATATATGGTATTGTTTATTATCAAATTTTGGTGTTTTTAATTACACTGCATATTTCTTTGGAAGTCATTGTCAGGTCAAGGTATGATGCACTGACCACTAAGTTCTGTCTAGTGTTATACACGGATCACGTATAGCTTGTAAAGAACATATTGAATAAACTAAATGTTTAATAAGATCGTGTCTTAACAGAAGTTATAGAGAGTATAAACGTCAACTTCAGGTATACATCACTTTGTCACACCAATGGCCTCCTATGTACCTCGCAATTACCAGTTAATTATATCGTAATTACGAGATAATCTTTTTTTTTTCATTTGATTTGATTGACCCTAATTGTCTTCCGTACAACAGGATCTAAAATTTGATTTTGCTCAATATGGATATGAAGTGGTTAGCTCATCAGGAAGGGCTAATTGCCATGTCGAAAATATCCTCAGTAAACTAATAAATGACATTTTAGTGAGTTTTAAAGATGCCGTATTTAACGTCGTAACAATAAATTGGGTCAAATTAGCGTTAAAGGGACAATAACACTCTTGCTCCAGAAAATAAACAATATCTCTATCTAAGTACTAGATGTTTAAGTGTCCTACCTGTTGTGTAAATTATCCATTACATCCTATTTTACTTGTCCAGAGGGTTCGAAAATATTTTTAAATCGAAGTTTCATTTGAAAAGGTTTACGTTAGACGTTTCAAACCATTATGTTGGAATTTTCAAATTTTTTAAATAAGGTGTGTTAAGATGAAATTTGTATCATCAATTAATTGAAATATTCTAAAATAGTACAATTTGTTGACCAGAATAAAGATTGGGACATATTATTCAGTTACAACAAGAGTGGTATTGAGCCTTTAACATGCACCCATTACTGTCATAAACGAAATGAAATGAAATGGGGTTTAACATCCTACTGACTGTCATAAACACAATAAAAGCTATTTAATATAGAGGTTGTGTTTGACGCATGTATATTTAGCAATCATAAAATATTCCGTGACATTTACGCAAGACGACTGGCTTAGTTCAGAGACATGGGAGAGGGACAAACAATTACATTTTCATAATCCTTGAGTGGCATTTAGCGATTGAACACATTAAAAAACACAACACGTTTATATGGAAATACTTATAAACCAGTGATTGTATTTCCATATAAACGTGTTGTGTTTTTTAATTACATTTTCTTTATTTAAATTATTGACGTTAAATTTAATTCCATTACTCTCAACAAATAAAAAATCATGTGAACTGATGGGTAACTATGACGTAGTGGATCTGGAGGTTATGTGGACCGACATATAAATTTTGAAAAAAATATAAATTTTTATTATGATTATTCTAAAAAAAAAATATAAAAAAATTTCTGAAAAAATATAAAAAAAATTCATAAAAAATATAAAACATTTTTAGAAAAAATATAATTAGCGTGTCAGAAAACAGACATTTCTGCCAAAGTCAACCTAATTTTCATAATCGCATCTCCCCCCCCCCCCCACAACACAAACCTTAATCCTAAATCCCATCTGTTGTCGCCTGTAAAACTGCTGGTTGACGGATTCTGGTATTAAGACAAAATTATCAAACTGTGTCCGAACTAATTATGTCAACTGCGGAATGTTTATTCATCACCTTCCCCAAACCATTCCCCAATCATAGAAATATTTATATATTTCTATGCCCCCAATGCACACTGATCCGCAGTGAATATTCGCTAGGCCGCGACAATCACTGATAAGGATGACATCGGTGCGACTTAATGAGCCACAAATTAACTTTTTTACTCCGACAAATTAAATTCTAAAACATTTTTTTTTATGTATTAGAAAAATAAATAAAGACGTTTGATGTATTTGTAGGTAAAAATTATTTCCTGTTTTAGTGTAAATGGGTATTAAAATGAGTAAAAGGCGCCATTCTGTCCGAATCAGTAACGTCTTACGTAAACAATGCACGCGCCATTGTGCCAATGATTGACGCCGCGTGATATGACGTCATGTGTTGAAGACAGTCATCTTTTACAGAGATATTAGAAAACTTTCGTAATACTCTGTGAAACAGATTGCCCCCAATGATTACCTACCCACATAATGTGTTATTATTACAGGATGCTGTCCAAACTGCACTGATTGGATTGAACCCCCCCCCCCCCCCAAAAAAAAACAAAACAAAAAAAAACAACAAAAAACAAACAAAAACAAAACAAAACAAACAGATGGGCATACGCCATGCAGTGTGCTTTGAGGCAAACCTGCCTTCGGCCTCTTGGGAGTTCTTTTGCGTGCATTCCCACATGTACACGGGACATCGGTTTGTAACCCCATCCGAACGACTATACGTTGTCCCTTGCCAGGCCCCTCGTCCTACACCACCGAGATGAGGCAACCACGCCGAATTAACTTTCTCGGCCGGGATCGAAAACGGGACCGCCAGGTTAGCGAGCCAACGTCATACTCACTGAGTCACGGCGGCCCCACATCCCCTACATTTCTGGATGTAATTGGCAATCAGTGTGCTATGAGGGGAAAATGTATGCGACTCCTGGTCGTCGAATTCAGACTGAAAATCTTTTTTTTTTCGTCCCATCCGTACGACGAGTAACTTTCATTGTTAACCACTCCGGGGGGAAACCATGCTGCAATACATAAGAGCTGTCTCGACTAATACCGAGATTGAGTCCAGGATAGGTTGTTAGTGAGCTATTGCCAAACTCCATTAGCCATGGACTGGAATAAACACTTGCCTGTCTTATCGCAACGCGCTTAAACGTGACAAAGAGTAGGGTCCCCTGTCCAACCTCGTGGGTTTTCTCTGGGTCCTCCTGTTTCCTCCCACTGCTAAAGACCCCTACGCGCAACCGAATTATTGAAATAAAATTGGACCATATGTTAGTCCCGAGATGACCTAGTTTGTGTCGAGCGGACGTTAAACCCCATTTCTCCCTCTCTCACTTGCCTGTCTTCTCGCATCGTTGATCTGGTAATAGTATTTTTATGTATTCTTAGATGTATACCCTGCAGGTACAAATCATACATATCAAACAAGACAGACATATTATTTAACAATAACAAATTTTTATTGTGTATAAAATAAATAATTCATGTTTTTCGTGCGACTGTGTACTTTATACAATAGAAGATGAGATTGGCGAATAAACTTAATAAAGATCTACATCCCGAAATAGATATCATTTTTCCAGCAAATTGAACAATCATCTATAAATCAAAATTACAAAAATAAAAATCAATTATCTACAAATTTAAACTGTTTTCTACAAAATTTCCAGTTTTTTTTTAAAAAATTAGATTAATGTATTCAAAAATTTGGAATTATTAAAAAATCGTTTGATTTGAATCGTTTTGAAGGGCTCTAATGCATAACTGTTAGGTCATGATGATGATTATAATGATGATGATGATGATGAAGACCGAACTCACTTCCAAATGAGTTACATACTGCTGATGATACTGATGATACTGATGCTGATGATGATGAGAATGAAGATGGTGGTGGTGGCGATAACGACGATTAGGATCTTCAACGGAGACAACCGAACTCACTTCCAAATGAGTTACAGCATTATAAAATATCACAAACAAGTCGAAAGTTTTGCCATAAAATGTCATATTTTCCACTGTTTTCCATAGTCAGTCATATCACAAATCATGTCATTATCTATATTTTTGACATTGTCACCAATTGTCTCACATTCCACAAATATTTCCACATCGCGATCACAGTCGGAGTATTAATCAGTCTACAATCAAACTGGGCTGTCCGACAGCCGAAACGAAACGGATGTGTGGGGAGTATCCTTCGGAATATTAATAGTATGACAGGTTTGGTTTGTCCGGAATACCGAGAACGGAGTGTCGCTCGGACGATTAGTATTTGGGGGACCTGACAAGACGGAACGGGTCATACATAGGAGCATTGTCCACGTCCGGAGGGGCTGTCGGCACAGTAATGTTTGTAAACGTTAGACCCCGGTTCCCTATTTTAGGATCTGGTTGAGCAATTGTCGATACGCCAGTCAGTAGATTATTCCTACTATTTTCTAAACTTCTGGAACTTCTAAAGTCTAAAGTAAGCGAGGTAAAACCCGTGTAAAAGGGCAGTAAAATTAAGGTCCCTAACATGACTAAAATAAGGGCCGAACTGGGAGCGAAGATAATAATTAGTACAGCAGCGATTATGGCCAAAATGGCGTAACCCCACAAATGCTTAAAACTTGACACAAATGGATTTGATGCCTTAAAATCTTCTTCAACAGCTCTCTGTGGAACCCATTTCACCGAGGCACCGACATTGGCCTGAATGGCGCGAATTATTCGGACACAACCAACAAACGCTTCTGGTGTAAACTGTAAAATGGAAGCCACTGTCTCTATTATGACAAATTTAAAGTTTTTACGAGTTGTTGTTGCGAACTTGGGGAATATAAGCACTAGGAACATAACAATAATTATAGAGGCGTATCTATAGCGTAGATTAACTTGATAATGTAACAGGATATATAACAACAAAATAGGCTTCATAAACATTTGTCTTAATGCTGAATGAGCAACATATGAGGTCACAAAATCCAATTTCGACTTAGTCCGCAATTTTGTGGCTACGAATTTTTCTCCCTGAAGTTTGCTTTGTAGCCATCGCATCGGAACACCAACAGCGTTTTCCCAGAAATAGAAAGCTAAGAGAACTTCTCCTCGGTTCCACCGGCGCTCTCGAATGTTCCACGTCACATAATTATAAGATGGCGCCTCCAGAAGATACACACTACCAGCGTATAGGGGTTTCAGTAAAGACGCTTCAAACGTATCGTGACTCAAAACATCTATCGGTACGCGTTCGATTAAATTTCCTCTGTATCCGATAACATTGTCAATATATACACGATTCTTAATAAGACCTTTGCCGAAGAAAGAACTTTGTGAAAAATATGCCATTGTGGCGTTGGTCAGGGGCTCAAACAGAGATTGTCTCATCGATTCAAGATGCATAAACATCGTGTCGCTGCTGGTGCAATGGAGCTTTATAGCCGGTTGAATGATGCCACGATCCGGATAAGCTGCGGCTATTTCCATCAGGTCAAAAGTCCCGCCTTTCGGAACACCCGTGTCTCCGTCCAGAACCAACGTATAGTCAGTATGTCGTCCGTAAATTCTCTCGACGTCTTCGGAGTCGTAGAATAAAGGCTGTCCATACGGTCTAGCCGCTTTCCCGTAATACTCCGGATCGCAGTAGGAATAGGCTTCATCATCGCCGTCAAACAGGAGCATTAGATCTTGATACTGACCACATTTTCTCAAGACACGACTTGTTCGATGAATCACCATAAATTCTTTAGCGAAATTATCGCAAATAGTATCTAGATATTCCCGCACAAAAATACTTGATTCCACGTCATTGAATTTCTCCCAAACATGTTTTAGTCTCAGTGGTTCCACAGAACTGAAATCTCGACCCGAGTAAGATAATCCTTCACGAAATAACTGATCGTAAATCAATCCGCGGTAATTGTCTCGTGCTTCCAACTCGTATTTCTTCAGTTCTTCGTCATTCGTGGCCGAAACAAGCACCGCGCACGTATTTGCTGATAAATTATAAATAAAAGCTTCATACATTGTCTGTAAACATTCGTCAATGTCGTCTTTACTTAGAGCCAATAAATTATAGTTCAAACATAGAGACAGGTGATCAGATCGCGCTTTCTTACTTTGTCTTTGATCTCCGCCGACAATAAGAGTTACCACTGTCATAACGGGGAACTCTAAAACACTGCCCTGTAGAATTCCCAATACAATCACCACCAAAATACCTTGAACAACGTTCGTTTTACCCCAGTCCAGGTTCATAATGTTTAAAATAACAAAAACTAGAGCCAAGAAAATCCATATTGAAAAATATAGGAAGACTCGTCTAGTTTTGTTCATTCTGGGGCAGTGTTATTGTTAAATAAGCAATAATAAAAAAAAATTTTTTCACAGGTCTGTATTATTCACAGATTAAATAGTCTTAAAGATAATACATGTACGTGGTTTTAACACATTTAATGACAGCCAGTCACACACTATAAGATATGTTAAAATTGCAGAATCTTCTCTTTCCGGGTGGTTCGAATATAGTAAACTTTACGATAAACTTGTCCACATATTCAACACACGAAATGTTATAATTCATAGCACAGTCTCCAATCGAACTTTTGTGTTAATAGCATTCTAATTCTGGCGTTTTATGTAACAGTTTCCGATAAACGCGAATTATTTTTAATCCAAATAATTCCAAAGAATTAGAAAATAAAACCTCCGAATTAAAGAATTTGCACACTACGCGAAAAATTAAAACACAAAAATAACACGAAAATAAAAGTTATTTCGAGTGTGTATTAATTTTGGAGAGTATCGTAACGTATGTCTCCTCGTGTTATCACACAAATGGTTTTATCGTCGATTTGTATTTGACTGGTGATTTATACGGCGTTGTCATATATAGGTGTACAAACAACAATGTAATACAAGGGCGGGGTCTATTTTGTAATTCTCCATTTGTTTAACCGTGTTTAATTATTTCAACCCACATCAGCTGACATGCGGGTCTGTAACGTAGAGCATTGTAACAGTCAAACATGCAATGTATGTCGGTGATCTCCGGAACCTGACATCAAAATTCGTAAAGTGACGTCACTCATTCGGCAATCCCCGACCAGGATGAATTCATTCATAAAATCTGACTGCATTCAATCATTTTCTTTTATGTGTTAAGTCTTTTCATTGGTCATTTCACCTATATTTTGTTTGTATACGTTCCTTCCAGTGTGGAATAAAATTCCATAAGACAGGCCTGAAATAGAAATGGGACGTGATATATTAAAAAGATTCATCGAAAGGGGGTAAAATATCGTGATGGATTATGATTTTATATTCACGAACTGTTTGATTATCAAGGCATTTCTAGACTCTCGTATCACCTTCTTTTTAAAGCAACAATACAAGTTAGTTGTACCTACCAATTTATCAAATGCATGTGTTTGAGATAGGCCATTCATGTTCAAAAATAAAATAAACAAAAATATTTCGGTGTCACAAACACAAACATTGACTATCACGATTTTTTATGTAAATAAAAGGGTCATTCAAATGGGTATTTGGAATGTTAGGTTGGTCAATAAACTTTTAAAATAAAGATTATTTAGGTGCGGTCTCAAATCTTAATAGTTTTAAAGTAGATTATCTTTTTTTTTTTTTAAATTCGATCAATAAACTTTTAAAATAAAGATTATTTAGGTGCGATCTCAAGTCTTAATAGTTTTAAAGGAGTTTATCCAATTTTTGTTTTAAATTTAGTCAATAATGTTTTTAAATTTTGAATGAAATTGGGTTTAACGTCCTACTGTTCTGCTACATTTTAAATGAAATGGGGTTTAACGTCCTAATATTCTGCTAAATTTTAAAAGTAAAGACTATCTAGGTAATTATCTATTTTTGAATTTATCATCTTTCGTATACATCTTATTTTCATTCTAGATTTATAGCCATTCATTTTTAAAATCAACATTTTGATGAAATGAAGTGAAATGAGGTTTAACGTCCTACTGTTCCGTCCCGACTGGACTAATAGCACCGTCATACAGTGTGCTATAAGGGAAATTTTGCCCGGGCAGCGACCTCATCGACCTGCTCTTATATCGAATTCACTGCCAAGGGCTCTTTAACGTACACTCTAATGTGTACACGGGATCTCAGTTTATCGTCCCATCCGAATAACTTGTCTCTTGTCAGACACTCTGTCTTGCAGCACTGCCAAGGAGGAACCACGCCGAAAAGTCCGATAAACTTTCTCGGTCAACACAGGGATCGAACATGGGACCTCCAAGGTTAGCGAGCCAACGTTCTACTCCCTGAACCACCCCACCATTTTGATGAAGGAATCCATAACAATATTTAGATATTAAATGACACAATGACATTTGTAATTTTTATAATTTATAATTGTGTAAGGCTTGGTAGGGTGTATAATATTTTTGACCCTGACATAGACCCTGCATCGTGTAGTGGCTTATTGAAATAAAATTGAATCATGCGCTAGTCCCGAAATGATCGCTTTCGTGTCGAGTGGACGTCAGAAATCCCACGTTACTCTCTTAAATTCACCCCCCCCCCATCTCCCCTAACGCCCTACACCTTAAAAGGGGAACTGACGGTGGAAGAATCCCGGGGTACTTACTTTGGTTAGTAGGATGAAATAGTGTTTAATGTCCTCTCTACAACAAATAGGTAATTTTGGGACTAACATATGGTTCAGTTTAATTCAATAATTCGCTTGCGCGTAGGGGTCTTTAGCTGTGAGAGAACCCGGGGAAAACATACGAGCCTGACGCACAGAAGCACGTGGCGGTCGTTCTTTATTACGCTTAAATGGTCTTGGTGAGTCTAGAGTGAAAATCGTTTTTTGAATATGAATTATGTTTTCTTTCAGTGAACATAGATATCCCATCATTTATCTCCGTGTTCGTCATGAACCGCATGAAGCGGAAACCACGGTGACACCATAGTTGATGTCTTACGTCCGTTACAAAATAATTAAGATTCTGTCTCGACCATTAAACAATATGATGTGTAATTAAACATTCTCTACGTCTTCTCACGGTGATGATAATAAAATAACAATAAATCAAGTAATAAAATAGGGTTGAACGTCCTACTGTTCTACTCCGACTGGGCAAATGAACACGGCATGATCATACAGTGTGCTATGAGAGAAATTTTTCCCGGGCAGCGGCGCTACGGTCTACTCTTATATCGAATTCCAACTGCCAAGATATCTTTAACGTGCACGAAAATGTGTACAAGGGACCTCGGTTTTTGGTACCATTCGAACGACTATACGTTGTCCCTTGTCAGGTCCTCGGTCCTGCACCTCTTAGAAGGACGAGCCAAGCCGGAAAATCCCGAAGAACTTTCTCGGCCAACGCCGGGATCGAACACGGGACCTATAGGTTAGTAAGCCAACGTCTTCCTCACTGAGCGACTAAGGCGCCCCACGCCAATAATTGACTTATCGCTCGGGTAGTGCATAAAACTCAGTTCGAGGTAAAATTACAACACCCACACCTCCCCACCCCCAACACAAAACCACTCTCATATTTATGGTCATGATGTCATTCTCATAAGGTCGCTGCCGGGGTAAATTCTCCACCATAACTGGCCGATTTCAGAAAAGTGTTTAACACCCTTAATTTATTTTAAGATTTTTTTGGAAGGAGACGGAATTACGTGTCTTCCGTCTTTTTTCTCTCGGTCCATCAAGTTGATGACTAAACGACTGAACAGAATACAAGGCACAAAGGATATACAGGCGTTGAATAAGTTATTTAATAACAATAGGGCAGGTTTAACACTGTAAAGAATAACAAGTCGGCGAAAACAATTAAAGTACATTTATAAAAAAAAAAGGAAAAAATAAAATAAAATGCATCTTGTAGGTTTATAGTGAATCACAAACCGCAAGCAGACGCCTCAGCTATCATTGTCGTCCTACCTTGATGACGTCATTATAGGGAATACCCGACTTAACACAAAGTAATCGGATTGGTTGGTTAATAATGAGTAACTAAGGAGAATCCCTAGGAATTGAGGAATGTTCAAAATCATTGTTACATTAATATTTATTACTTTTGGAATAGCTTTGTAATGTATAATAGGTTTAGCTATTCGGCGACAAATTAATTATATCATTTTTAGGCTATTGTTAGGCTACGCGAATGGAGACGTGTTCGAATATTCCAACCGTCAATATGTGATAGAAATGAGACCCCATTTCCCCCGACTGGGCACACAGTCATTTTCACTTGAAACAAAACTTGACCGCCCCAACCCCCAAAACAAAAAAAACCCAATGGCTTTTCTCACGCCGCGATTCGAATCGCCCCCCCCCCCCATAAAATGCATCGTTTCGGTACAAGATCAGACAAAATTCAGTTTGTAAGAATTGTCTAATATCGTAATTAAAATAACGTCATTTTTTAAACAAAAAAATATCAAAAATAGGCGAAATACTCACCAACTGATTATCAAAATTTCAGATAATCGACTATTAAAGATACATTATGGGAGATAAAATAAAGATATGGCAGTTCTCACTATAATAGTTAAAAACTAGATAATGTAAAGGGAATTTGCGGAAAATTTCAGTCAAATTGATCCACCCTGAACCGAGTTTTTAGCGATTGCATTTTGGGCCTAGCCTTGATCATCATTACCATAGTCGGTACTATAAAAACATTTGGTCTGGATAAGTTAATTAATGTCTAATTAATAATTTAGATAACATTTCAGACCTAAAGAAAGACCTGCAATAGGCAGATTTAGATCTCGCATAATGTATGTTTAATATTTCGAAGTATGCAAAATATTAAAAGATACCTGCATTTAACCTGTAGAAAAGAGATAGCAGAATCTTTGCAATTAGAAACCAATGTAAGCTTTTAATGGCGTAACTTTTAACGATTTTAATTGATCATGTTTTTATAAGTATATAGGATTGCAAATTCTATATTATTTATCTAAATTTTGGCTTTTAGTGTGGCCGTAATTAAAAAAAAAATAGAAAAGAAACTGATTTGTTTCTATACCATTTCTCGAAAAATTTGTCAAAAATGATCCGCATATAATTAAAAGTTGTTTTGGATTTTTATACAAAATTCCTCAAATTCTCACAACCTTTGATAAACTGAAATAATTAAACGGATGAAACGGTTAATCTAATAACCCGAAAGCCACGGGGATTTGCCGAGTTTGGAAATGACTGAAGGTCGCGAGTTCGACCCCGATGTTGACATGCGTGGTTTATCTTTATTAAGTCTGAAGGATTCCAAAGACAATAGGGTAAATATGAGAGCAGGATTCGATCACCGTATTGGCAAATATAAAACACATGTGAAAAGGTGTATAAAATATAA